CTTTAGGAGATAAAACTTGGAGTTGATGCCTTGTGGGGGCTGTCCTAGAGCAGAGGCTGGGCAGAGTCACAGAATAAATTCGGGATTTATCCAAAGGATCTCCTCCATGGATCCACCTTGGGCAGCACCAGAGCCCAGCCAGGGCTGCACCCAAATGAACCAAAATGGCCCCAAAATGCACGAGCGCTCCTGGGGGCTCTCCCTGGGATCAGTTCTGCTCCATTGGCACCTTGGAGTTCATTGTCCCATTCCAGCTTCAGCCCAGGCAGTCCCACCCTGCTTGTTTTTCTCTCTCCAGCCCACGGTGTTTGTGCTCCTGGGCTGAGATTTGGATCATTTGTCCTTGGTGCCCAGCTGGAGCAGGAATTGTTTTGTGTCCCTGCTCTGTGCAGAGAGCTCAGCATCCCCTGATGTGAAACTCAGAATTTATATTTTTCAGATTCTAAAACCTGAGGCATCAGAATTTGGAGTCTTATAGGCTACTTGTGAAAATGGATGCGTGTAAGAGTGTAGACCTAAAAACAGTTACACGGGCACCTTCCCAATTAATGAAATATGTTCAAGGAGCTGTTATTTCTGATGTGTGGCACATCCACATAGAAGAAAACAAGGTTTAGAGGAGCAGTTTCCAGATGTATGAATCAATTACTACTTGAAAAATTCCACCCTAAATCCAAGAATTCCACCCTAAACCCAAGAATTAGAGTTGCTACCCTTGGCTTAATCCAGCGTGCAACTTGTAACTCCCAGGAGTGAGCAGAGATCAAACTTACTGGGGAAGCAAGAATTGTAGCCAAAACTAACACAAAACTGTAACTTCCAGAGGAAATATTTAGAGGCATAATGAGAGGGATGGGAAACTAAACATGAAAATCGACATGGGGAAACGAAGCCCTCAGACTTGGCCCGTGTGCTCATGGCCACAATCAAATTAAAGGCAAATTGAAAAGGGGTCAGATCAGAAAATAAAATAAAGCCCATGAACTGGGAGAGGATGCAGGGCAAGAATTGCAGCAAAGCAAGAAGTAGAAGCCTCATGCAAACTTTCATTTTCTCTATTTTTATTCTGGATTTATACCAAAGGATTAAATTTAGCCTTTGCTTGGAGGCCAGAGAGCCACAAAGAGTTCCTCAGTTCCATTCTTGGTGAGGGCCTGGGAGCTGCTCCATCCCTATGAGGGTTTCTGGATGTGCAGTTTGCACATGACCGGTTTAGGGACAGGCTACGGACTGGGAGGAGGATTGGGCAGGAACGATGAGGCTTCCAAACTATTTTATGATTCTGAACTATTTGACAATTCCAAACTATCTTATAACTACCTAATAACCTTCTGGAGAGTATATTGGGTGTTGCTCGCAGGCCTGAAGATCAGTATTATAAAAGAAGTGCCCCTTTTAAGGGGATTTTCCAATGGTCAGACCACATTTTTTCAACATGTGGGGCTCCCAGTTTGCTGTGAGCGTAGAGGGATGTGCCAGGGAGTGAAGGAAGCACAGCAGCCTGGGGAGAGAAGAGACCTCTGCATCCACATGGATCTGTATTTACAGTTACACCTCAGTTTTCAGAACAGAAATTAAATATTTATCTGCAGAGCAACTGGAGAGGATATGTCAGCAATATCCTGATCCCCGCAGAGGGGATGCACCATTAATAAGCCACGTTGAGTCATTCCCTACAGGAATAGTGTTTTTCTCCAGGGCCATTGCATGCTCCAGCTATTCCAGAGCCATCCCACTTGCTCTGTTTCCTGACTGACCCGCTTGGCATCTGCCTGTGCTGCTGTCAGAGCGAGTTTACTCCCACCACGGGGCTGGGATTTATATCTGACATGTGTTTCTCCTCTTCCTAACACTCCAACACTGACACTCCAGCTCTCTTTTCATGTTCTCTAAAAGTAAAAGGGATGTTTTTCAAGCGTGGCCTCAATTTTGCAATCTGAGTTTTTGATGCTTTTAGCAGAGCAGAGCCTTCAGCTCTTCATCCTTTGGGTCCTTTCCCTCTCCAGCCCACAGCAGCACACACTCCAATTTTGGGATGCCACAAGCCAAGCTAGGGGGATCCTCCTCTTCTCCAGGGTGTATTCCAAAGCAAAAAAACAGGATGGGAGGAAACAGCTTCATGTTGCACCAGGGGAGGTTAGATTAGGTAGCAGGAGAAATTTCTTCGTGGAGAAAGCATGGCTGGGGCTGTGGTGGAGTCACCATCCCTGGAAATGTCCAAAAAACGTGTGGATGTGGCACTGGAGGATATGGTTTAATGGAAAACACAGAAGTGGGGCTAGGTTTGATGATCTTAGAGGGTTTTCCAAGCTTAATAATTCCATGATTCTATGATAGGAGGAGACAGATTTAACCCACAGCCTTGAAAGACCAGGTTTGAGGAGGTGACAAACATCAGATTGTCTCAATTGGCAGCTTTAACTCACATCCAAAGACCTCAGAATCTGAATTTTGGGGTCTTTTCTTTATCTCTTCCCCCCCTTGGCATTTTGGAGGGAGATTTTTCCTCTCTTTCCCTCGACATTTTGTCATGTGGCACTGACTGAGCATGAGCCCAGCAGATTGAGAAACACCCCACTGGTGGATGCCTGGGCTGGAATTCTGCGTGGGTCTGGTTCCCACATCCTGGAACAACTCCTCCAGGAAGGCAGGGAGGAGGCAGGAAGCACATGGGAACTCCAGGGGAGCTAAGGTTTGCCTCCAGGGCTCTGCAGTCAATGAGTTTTGGTTGTGCACAAAAATGTGAAACCTGTTCAGTTGGTTCCCTCACTGCCAGCAGCATCCTGGGGATTTGGAAGCCCCAGGACAATTGGCTCATTCATTTCCTGGGGTTAGTTTATTAAAAGTAAAATCTATTTGTAGTGTTAAGCTTGTGATGGGGTGCAGGAATGGGATGACTTGGAAATTCTTGGAGCACCAAATGCAACTGGCTACTGACTGAGCTCTGGCTGTGACCTTGATTTGATAATTAATTATGTAACAAAGTTCAGATATGAAGTTTCCAAACATGCAGCTGTATTAGAAATAAAATAAAAATGTTTAAAAGTGTGGTTTAGCCAGGATATTGAAAAGCCACTTGGCTAAACCTTTGTGTCCTACACTGGTGAATCTAATAAAATAAAGTAAAATGTAATATGAAAATGACCATAGCTAAGCACGAATTTGGCTGAGTTCTGCCTCTCACTTGGCCCCAGAGAAGATTTTCCAGCAGAAGTCCTGAAGCTTCAGCATGATGGAAAGAAAAGATCCTTGACTTCCAGGTAGCAAAGGCTGCTTCAGCAATGGAAATACAAGGTAACAACTAGGGCAGCTTTGAGAGGCATCCCTTGGGTTTGGATTGCTTTGGCTAAACAGGGATTCTCAGGAATAGTGACTAAAAATATGTAAAATATAAATAATATTAGGCTCACAAATCACCTAAATGAACAAAAGCCAAGGATAAGCGGGTGCAGCTTTTGCATAGGAAGAATTATATTTAATTTATCGAAAACAAGTGAAAGAGAATTTTGCTGATGTCCTTCAGAGATGCCAGCAGGTGCTGCTGGGAGGAGCAAGTTTCAGGTCTGACCCAGCTCCCACCCCTGACAAAGTGGGATGAGGAATTGCTGTGGGCACCAGCACCTGGGAGAAGTCAAAAAAATCAACCATTAAAGCAGATAGAAACCACATTTCAAGGAAATAGGATATGATTATAGTAAATAATAGGTTATATGAATGCTTGGATGAATTGCTAAGTCCTGGAATTTACTGCTACAGGACACAAGTGGCTCTGGTAGGACTCTAAAAAATGTAACTGTGGATGTGGGTTGTTGAAGCCATTTATTTAAACATTATCTACACCTTCACAATTATAAAGTGTTAATTACTGAAGAGTAAATCTGGAGGGTGTATGTTTTGTGTGGGCCTGGTGTTTGGCTTCTTGGGCTCGTTGATCACTGGGCAATACCTCCAGGTCCAAAATTTATTCCTTGTTTGAGATTTTCTAACACAGCCTGATGCTGTAGCTTGGTTCCTGATGGTCGGGAGTTGAGGTGGCACCTGGGGACATGGCTTACTGCTGCTGGGTTAATGGTTGGATTTGATGATCTTGGAGGTCTTTTCCAATTTAATTATCCTGTGATTCTAGGACTTTGACATCCTGCTACAGGTTACTGGATGCAGGGCTTGTCGTGTGCTTGTGCACATGGCACCAACCCAGCTTTTTACAAGTGATAGGACAAGGAGGGGATTGTCTTTAAATCAAAGGGGATTAGGTTTAGACTAGAAATCAGGAATAAATTATTTCCTGGGAAGGTGGGGAGGCCCTGGCACAGGTGCCCAGAGCAGCTGTGGCTGCCCCTGGACCCAAGGCCAGGCTGGACTGGGCTTGGAGAAGCCTGGGACGATGGGATGTGTCCCTGCCCATGGCAAGGGTGGCACTGGACGGATTTTAAGGTCCTTCAACCCAAACCATTCAAAGCTTCTCTGATTTCCTGCCCTAAAGGGGATGTTTTCTCCAGGTATCTCTGCTTGTCGTCTCACTCGCGTTGCTGTTCCAGGGTGGGATGGGCTTTGCCGCCGTTCCTTCCATTCATTTATTTGTTCATTGCCCGTGTCAGTTGCACGACAAACATTTCCTCAAGGCTCGACGCGAGGCCGCGCTGGGCGGCGCCGCGGCCGGGGATGGATGACTCCGTCCTCGGGGTTGCGAAAGGAGACGTTGAAGACTGATAAAATAAATTAAATTAAGGGGGGGGGTGGTGTTAAAAGTTTAAAAAGATTTCTTTTTTTAAAAAAGGAGGCAGAGCGGTGACTTTTCGGACGGCGATCCGGGCCGCCCCGCTCCCCCCGCCCGGGCCGGGGGCACGGCGGCCTCCGGGGCGGGGCTGGCGCGGGGGGCCCGGCCCGGCCCCCGCCCGCAGCGCGGCGGCCCCAGACGCCTCCCCCTGCCGCGGCGCCTCCGCCTCGGCCCCGCCGCTCCCGCTCCTCCTCCGCCCGCAGTTTGCGTCTCTCCAGCGCCGGGGCGCGGAGCGCCGTGAGCGCGGAGCGGGGCGCGGGGCAGCGCCCGCCGCCGTCCTGCATGGCGGGCGGCCCGCGGCGCTGAGGGGGCAGGCGGTGCCCCAGCATGGCGCGGGGCGGCGGGCGGCTGCAGCCCCGCGCCGCCGCTGCCCCTGCCCGGGGGGACCGGGGGCCGCTCGGCCTCCTGTGCCTGGCGCTGCTGTGCGCGCTGGGCGCCGCCGAGGCGGAGTTCTCCATCCTGGACGAGGCGCAAGTCCTGGCCAGCCAGATGAGGAAACTCGCCACCGAGGAGCTGAGGGTCGTCACCATGCAGGTACGGCCCGGCCCGGCCCGCGCCTCGCCTGGTTTTCCCTCCTTCCTTCCCTCCCTGCCTCCCTCCTCCACACGCTCTTCCCGATTCCTGCCTTGCCCTTTCTCCCTCCTTTCTTTCTTCCATCGGTTCTTTTCTTCTTCGCAAACTTTCCCTCCCCCCTGCGCGGGCTGCCCGGCTTCCTCCGGCCCCGTTCCCCTCAGCCCCATCTTCGCCAGTCCCCTTCCTTCAGCCCCGGCACCGCTCAGCCCCGGCTCTCCCCGGTCCCGTTCCTGCTCCCTCAGCCCCGGCCCCGCTCTCTCAGCCTTGGATCTCTCCGGCCCCGCTCCTTCAGCCCCGGCCCCGCTCTCTCAGCCCCGGTTCTCTCCGGCCCCGCTCCCTCAGCCCCGGGTTCTCTCTGGGGCTCCCCCGCCCCGGTTCCTCTGGGGCTCCCTCAGCCCCGGTTCTCCCCGGCCCCGGTTCTCTCCGGCCCCGGCTCTCTCTGGGGCTCCCTCAGCCTTGGATCTCTCTGGGGCTCCCTCAGCCCCGGCTCTCTCTGGGGCTCCCTCAGCCCCGGTTCTCCCCGGGGCTCCCTCAGCCCCGGTTCTCCCCGGCCCCGCTCCCTCAGCCCCGGTTCTCCCCGGCCCCGGTTCTCCCCGGGGCTCCCACAGCCCCGGCTCTCCCCGGCCCCGCTCCCTCAGCCCCGGTTCTCCCCGGGGCTCTCACAGCCGCGGCTCTCTCCGGCCCCGTTTCCCCCGCAGTGCCCCTCGCCCGAAGGCGAGCGGGGCCGTAGCGGCGGGGCACGGGCAGTTTCTTGTTTTATTTGTCATTTACACAATAGGAGCAGCCAAAACCGCCTCCCGCAGTGGCGGAGGGCTCCGAGCCTGCGCTCGGGGCTGAGGCGGTCCCGGCCGAGCATCCCGCGGGCTGGAGCTGCGGGGCGATCGGGGGAAGCGATGGTTCCCGGCCCCAGAGTGCGGCCGGAGGAGTTTGCTCAGGTGCTGGGTTCGGAGGAAGGTTGTTCTCGTTGCCGGCAGTTGTGCGGTGTTTGCGGGGTGTTCTTGCAGGGAGCGCTGGTACCTGCGGTACAGCCGGCGGCTGCAGACCCGCTCTGGAGGGGGGAAAAGTGAAATCGGATCCCAGGCGGCTTTCAGGGGAAGGTATGGTCAGTAGCAAATGCAGTTTTAAAAGCCTCCCAAATTGAAAAGGAGACACTTTCATAGGATCAGCGGGGGTCTCTACCCAAATGGCCTTTTATCTTCTCTAAACTGGCTGCATTCTCTCACCTCTGGACCATCATTGTGCTGGGCGGCCTCCTAGGGCTCGTTTTGTCCGGGCAAACACTGAGCTGTCTCTTGTCCTTGATGCTGAGACGACGCGGATTCAAATGACTTCACTTAACAAGGTACATTATTGATGTACTGAATTCGAGGAAGTCCCTTTTTTTTCCCCTTCTGCCGTGCATACGCATATGTGTATTTCCCCTCAAAAGACATAAGCATAATCCTTTGCTTTGGTGGAGTCTCTGTTCATGCAAATTAAGGCAGTATAATTGCATTGCTAAATCCATGTCTGGCATTAAAAAAAAATATAATACGATCACCTCAACGTGTGTTGTATTTGAAAAAGCAGCTCATAAAAATATATATTGTTACAAGAATTAGCCATGGGTTGCGCCAGGTTTTCTTTCCAAGAATTGTACCGATGATCTGAGCTCGGGAACAATCTGGATGCCAGTGCACGGAGATGCAAATAATGTTAAAATTCTGTTTACTATTAGTTGGATATTTAAGGCCCTGAAGTAATTTAATGTGGTGAAACTGGTAGTTAAACCCTTTTCATACTCAGCTCTATTTTTATATGCTTCATATTTTGACTGCCTCAACTCTCATCACGCTAATGCCCAGCCTGTCCTTGCTCCCCCTTGGAACATTGTTACAGCTGTTTAAGATTAAAAACCGGTGGGAACAAACCTCCCCTGATTTTGGAAGCTTTTTTTGCTGACCTCCTACAGTAGAATAAAAAAATGTTATGACATGTGTCATGCAGCCCATGCTTCTCACTTGGTTTTAGGGCTGAAATTTCCAAAGCCTGCTCAGGCAGGGCTGGGTGTAGCTGGCACAGAATTCCTCCTTTTTTTTTTTTTTTTTTTGCATGTTCAGGGCTGGTGGTGAGCATCTGGTGCCAGCACGGTGGGGATGCTTGGGATGATGCAAACAGGTTGTGTTTGCAGAAGAGAAAGGTGTGGGATTTTGGAAGGAGAGCAAGAACACTTTCATGCTTTAACTGGATACAAATCCAAGGGTGTCATCCTGGTTTAGAGGGTGGAAGGACTGGTGGGAGGAAGGGTTGATATCCAGCCATTAGTTTTATTTCACTCCATAAACCAGAGAGGAGGAAGTGGCAGGATTTAATTCTTCCCTTGTGTGCACTCCCCCCATGCTCCGGTCCTTGCCAGCTGTGGCTCCCACATCTGCACATCCCCAAACAGGCAGGAGGAGGTGGTGTCACCAGAGGGCTTTGCAGGAAGGGTCGGTCTGAGCTGGAGGTGGGGAGGAAGCATCCAATGAGTGCAGGAGCAGGTGGAAATGCTTCAGCAGAGTGAAGGTGAGAGGTTGGTTGGGTGTGTTTTGAGTCTGGGAAAAGAGGAAAGTGTAGCCAGAGCCTCTGTAAGTGCAGGAAGGCAGGATGAGCTGGAGTCTGCAGAGTGGAAGAGGTAAGAGAAGGATGGAATTTGTGAGCCTTAAATGCCTGTGAGAAGGGGCAGGGAGTGATGAGCGTGGAAGCTGTGGGATATGAAATAAATCAGGATTCTGCTGGAGCGCTGGCGGTGCTGGGAACGAGCTGCCTCTCCTCTCCTCTGCGCGGTGTCTCCTTCCTGTGGCACCTTCTCCTCTACCTGTGCTTCAGGGCACTGCTCCAGCAGCAGTCAGGACTGAGTGCTTCTCATCAAATCCCATAATTTTGCATTGCTGAGAGGAGTGAGGTTCAGCTGGAAGAGAGTAGCTACAGGTAGACTGAGGATGAGAGAGGTTTCTGGTGGCACACCAGTGTGACAATTGATTTTGGCACTCACACCACTGCTTTCTATTTCCAGAGACTTGCATGAGGGCAGTGTCTTACTGTTACCTTTGGGGAGTGCTTTGTTTCCTCGCCTGTGCAAGTGCTCTGGTTTCATTTATAAATTTATTCCTTGAATGGTACTGCCTAGAGCAGCTGAGGATCATGTAATATAGGTGACAACTCGTGAGTTGCATCATTTGCTGGATGTGTTGAACAGCAGCTTAAGTTTCTTATTTAAATTTCCAATTAGAGTATAGATATTTGTACCATACCAGGGATTCCCTTAGTGAGAACACGTGCTGTCTGTTGTGTGCTCTGCAGTGTGTGTGGGTTTCTGGGTGTCTGCTTCTGTATTCTTTCTCCAGGAGTGGTTAAATATTGGAAGTTCATCAGCTGTCTGATTTTCTCTGTTGCCCTGATTATTGTTCCCCTTGTTTGACAGTTTTGCCAAATCCCCAGTTAATGATGTTGCTGTGTCTTAATATTCTGTGTCTTCCCTTCCACATCCTGGGATGTGAGTGGTGTGTGCATACACATCTTTACAGGGATTTTTGCCCTGTGCAGCAGAGGTGATCTGTTTGTTTCTGCCCAAAGTGATTCCCCAAATCAAGCAGAAACAACCTCACCACAATCTCTTCCCTTCCCTCTCCCTCCTGCAGGACGGAGGGTGCTGGAGAAGGGTTGTGGGTTGTGCTGTACCACAGTCACCTGTAACTGTTCCTTTGTTTTGCAGCAGCAGAGCACGTTGACAGCACCCCTGTCATTGCAGGAACACTTGTGGCAGCAGGCTGCATCCTTGGGAGGCGGTGTGCAATCCCATTCCGTGTTCTTGTCATTCCTCAGCAAACTGCATCCTCCTTATCCCAGGGCATCGCTTGCCAAGGGCTGCAGCTCGGTCAATGACTACTTGTGTGACAGTCCTGTAATATATTCTCCTGGGCAGAGCTGACACTCAGCACTAATTGAAAGTAAAGAGCCTTTTCTTACTAAAATTATAACTAAATTGGTGGTTGTGGCATGACCTTGTCTGCGGGTGGAGTTTCACCATCGCTGTTACCTGGCTCGTCTGATCCTGGCTTCTCTGGCCTGGCTGAAATTACAGGGTATGTTGTTGGTTGAAACAACTGAAATTCTTTAGTTGGGAGGTGAAGGCAAGAAAAGAATAAATCAGAACTTTTGTGAGTGGTTGGTTTGGTTTTGGCAAGGTTTAATCCTCTAAGTCTGCCCTGGGTGAGGTGAGGAATATTTTTTGATAGTGTAGGGCAAGGTAACATTTCCATCTCCAAAAGAGGGATATAATACTTGCAGCCAGAATTGAAAGGAGTAAGAAATGCTTTGAAGATGAAAAGCATTAAGTGCCTCTATAACTCTCAAAATGCATGTTGATGTTTTCAGCCAGACAGTAACAGAAGTTGTAGGCCCAGAGGGCCTCGAATATTTGTGAAGGCAGCTCTGCCATCTTAATCCTTAGCTCCTACTCTGAGAAGGGAGCACAGCCCTTTCTCATTGTCTGCTACTGATCTTCAGGGCTGGAATTTAAAAAATGCATTTTGAATCTGAAAAAAATGTTCCCTGTTTATTTTTAATATTAATACTGTGCAAACAATAGTAATATATTAATACATCAGGTGATGCAGTGGTGTGTAAAATAACAGCTTAGTACAGGCTTCTCCTGGTTGATTGGCAAGCATATAATTTATTTATTTCTCTCCCTAATAGCTTGTCTGGCCATATGTTTTTCAAGAAGAACAGATTGTGCTCAGACAAGCACAACACGGAGACAGAGACTCGTCCAAGGGTTTATATGGATTGAAAAATCCACATTCTTTGAGGATTTTTGGGTAATGGCAAAGAGTTGGAGTCACCAGAACTGTCTGTTTATTGAATCCTTTTGAAAATGAGCACTGACAGAACACAGCATTATTTATTTTTTTCTAATGGAATTGTCTTCTGGCTAATGGATTTACTACTTAGAAGAGATAAATCCCATTTTGAGCTGTCCTGCAGACCAGTTTAAATGCCAGAATGGTGGTTCTCCATCTCTGAAATCAGGGGTTTCACACATTTCTCCACTTTTTTTGATGAATCTTTATAAATAAATCTGTGGTGACTGTGAGGTACTTGCACAGCAAGTGGTGTAAAACCCCATGTCCTCCAGCTCTGAAACTTGGACCTTGTGCACCCTCAGCACAAAAAACAGCTTGCCTTTTTTTTTTTTTTCTATTATTTCGTCTTGTGGAGCTGAAATACAAAATAAACCCCATGAGTAAGGAAGGCTGTTAAGTATTCGATTGTGCCTTTTCAGGTTATTTTAATATTATTTGGCAGAAGTGTGTACTGTAGTAATAATTAAAGAATAGAAACCAGTTAATCATGGAAAACAGATGAGGTTTTGCTTATGCCTTAGCTTGAATCCAGCTACAGCAGCTTTATCCGAGGCTCTCTGACAGCCCAAGTTTTTTTATCCTTTTCCACACATATTCTTTTTTTTTTCCTACCATGAAACATTTCCAAAAGACAGGGAGAGGTCCTGGTGGAAGGGCAGACCAAATCTGAATTTTTAATTAAGCGTTGAGTCGTCTCTTCAAAGGGTCGGGGCATCCTCAGTGATGTGGCATCAGCCAAGGCTGACATTCCACTTCAAACCCCGGGAATGCAGCTGGCCCGGCCAGATAAAAGTTGGGATGTGGAGCAGCAAGGTGGGCTGGCAGATAATCAGCTGTGCCCCAGGATCCTGCAGTCCCTGGGACAGCAGGAATTCAGATTTCCTGGAAAGTGATTGGGGATCTCAGCTGTGGCAGGGCTGATAACACAAGGAAGGCACACAAGGAAATGCACTTTTTTTATTTTTTTGCAGTGGTTGGTGCCTGAGAAGCTGCTCTGCTGTCATAGCCTGGCCAGGCACTGGGGAGAAAAAAACCTAAATTTTGTTGTCAAAAAACATCAAGAAATTCTCTTCTTTCAGAGAGGCAAGATGTGTTTGAATTGGAAAAAAAATTACGAAGTTTTCTTGTGCGTGTGCTTCTCAGTTTTTCTTTTATATCTGTATTTTAAAGGGGAGAATTAAGAATAAGCAGATTTTGTTTTCTTTGTCGGTTTTTGGGGAGGAATTGGCCAAGAAGTGCTTGGAACCTTGTCAGTTCAGTGCCCTCCTGTATAGACGAGCCTAGCTCTAAGGAAGTATCCCAGATTTTGTTTATTTCCATTTTTAGGGCACTCCATAGATGCACGTGGGATTTGGGGGTACCTGAGCTTGGGTCTCTGTGAAGCCTGGAAATGGCAACACTTCCTGGATAAGGGTTGGATAATGGCCCAGGAATGATTTATTTTGATAAATCTGAATAGGAAAATACTAGATTTTTTTCTTTCTAATTTTTTTTCTGTAGATGAATAATATAACTTAATTGCAATTTTAGTGATTTATCTGATGCATCAATCTTTGTTTTGTATGTCAAAACTTCTGCTGAGGTTTTGATTAATAGCCCTTTTATTGTAGGTTTAATGCAGAATAAAGTGTAAAAATATAAATAGCCTGCATTCCTCAATTATCATTTTCCTGTAGCTTCTTGTTGTTCAATACCATGCAGTGTTTGTGAAATCTGAAAGGATCTCCTTGTGTTCTCTTTTCCATGGAAAACAGTATAAAAACACCAGTGCTTATGCAATGTCTGTTGTGGAAATTTTCCTTTTCTGATATAAAACATAAGCCAAGTTATTGCTTGAGTCTTGTGCTCTGTGTGTTCTGCCCTGTGCAGAAATCTGGATGAAATTATATGTCTGCTGTAGCAGTGAAAATCTGAGCTGACTTTTGAAACAATCCTGGTGCCACAAATCAGGAACAGTCATTTCCAATCCCAGGAAAAGTGTTAATGGAGTCACTTTATCAACTGCCTCCATGGAGAGTCTCCCAAGAGATTTTGCAAAAGTATATTTGCACAATTACAATGATTAGTAAAAGCAAACTATTACATCTCCCATTAGCAGCTTCCCAGCCAGGAGCAGCTGATAAAAACAGCTTTTTGTGGTGCTGTCGGCCTCTGAGCTCACAGATTTGCACAACTTGGACTGGTTGATTTAACCCCCTTCCACCTTTTGGATAAAAAAACCTGTAATTTTCCTTAAAGCATGTCTGCAGAAGTGTCTAGCCAGTGCTTCCTGTCCAGTTTTGACCTTCTTCTGCACATGCCCCTGTGATGCTGTAGGGATTTCTGGCTATCCTTAGGCTTGTCACAGGTGGGAATGAGTCCAGGGGGAAAAAAGCCCTTCAAAATAGACACATCTGGAAGTGGCTGTAAAAGTTTCTAGGAGCTGGAACGCCTTAAGCAGAATTTCTGGTGAGTTCACCCTGGTAGGGTTGTTTTTGTGCTGTTTTTTGGGGGTTTCACACCAAAGTGCATGTGGAGATAAGCTCAGCTTGGCAGAGATGATGTGGTGGTAGCACAGCAAAGGGCTGAGGTGCTCCCATGACCTCCCTGGCCCTGCTCAGTCCCTTTCAGCTAAGGAAGAATTGGAAACGTTTCCTTTGGGCTGTACTTCAGCTCAGGACTCACATCAGACAAAACCTGAGGGTTTGTGGGGGCAGAGGGGACAGACTCCCAAAAATAGCTGCAGGGGGAACCTGTTTGCCTGGAGCAGGCTCTGAGCCAGGTTGGAAAGGGCTTCCCAGCCCTTGGGAAGGCCACAGGGGGAGCCTTTTATTTGTTGGAAAAGAGAGGAACCCCAAAGTGAGTGGGGCAGGAGTGTCAGAGCAGCATTTGGCACTGGAATGGATGGGGAGTTAGCACGAGGTGTGGATTTATCCACAGCAGAGCACTTTTCCCAGGAGGGAGCAGCTCTGTGGTCCTCCCTGCCAGTGATGATTCCTTGTCCTTCACTGATGTGGGTGAGAAACTGGGAAGTGGTCAAGCAGAGCTGCTCCTGCCCAGAGAACATCCCTGGAGGTGTTGGGTGGGATTGCTCCAGTGTGGGATGGATCAGCTCCTGATGCTTCCCAAACCCTGGGAACTGGGATTGTGGTCCTCATGGACTTGCACTGGAAGAGAAAAAGGAGTGGTGTGAAGCTTTTTTGGTGTTGGATGTGCTGGAAGCCAGGAGAGCTTTTTGGGAATACCCTCCAATGAACTCCTTGCGTGGCTATGGAATTATGCATTTTGTGGGAGCAGATGTAAATTTTCCAGAAAGTAATTTTGCTTTCAGTGGTTGCCTGTCCATTACAAACCAGCCCAGGGGCTGCTGATGGGAGGTGGGTACAGAAGGAGGTCACATCCAGGATATTTTTATTGCCTTGTTCGTGATCAGTGAATTAACAGATTGTTTTTCCTCTTTTCTCCAGTATTGAAATTGTGTGGGTTTTCTGACTGTTGATAAAAGACTATTGGGAGAATAAGAAAGAAGCAGGATCTCCTATCATTGCAAGGAGTGTGAAATGAGGAGGAAAAGCCACTTCCACTCCGTGGATCCTAAATTTCAGTTTGTGTTTTGTTATTGGAAGCTGAAGCTGCAAAAAAAAATAGCCATTTTTTCCTCCTCTATTCTCTATTTCCAGTTGGCAGCAATCTGGTCAAGCCCTTATGGACAGGTGTATTCCAGAGGGGCCAAAGCAACATTTTGGAGACAGGATTTTTGTGTGGTATGGAAGGCACTGAAGGATAAAAATAAAAGTGTTTTTAATTTGAGGCGAATACACGTAGCAATTTTAACAATGAAAGGATATTTAATTTAAATAAGCTACAGCTGTAGGTAGTTTGACTTCCTTGGGCACATTGTTTGCCCAAGGAATTGTCTGGAATATGAATTTCAGAATTGTCTTTGATTCCTTTTGCCAGTGGCTGTCCAGGACTGCCAGGTGTGATGTGGGATTTATTCCCTTGGTCTCTTTTGGTGGAGTTCAGCTGCACAAAGCATTTTAGAGGGAAAACTGCACTTTCTGGAGCAGGCAGGAATAGTCACTGAGGATGCTTGTTTGTCACATTAGGGAGCTGTGGTCAGGCACCTGGTTTTAAACTGTGAATTTCAGTCTTTGATCTGTGTGATTAAAATTAGAAAATTTTATTCCTGGGTACACAGGCTCTTGTGTCTTCCTTGAAGGAGGTTCTGATTTAAAAAATGGAAGGAAGTTAATATTCACATACATTGCAAGAGGAGGATGGAAATTGTGAACTTCTGGGAGTTTGTTTGCTTCAGATGAGCTTCAGCAAGGTGGAAGTTGCAAACACAAACCTAATGGCTCTAATAGCCAAGCTTCTCATTAGTGCTGTTGGGGAAAACAAGAAATCTTCTCTTTAATTTTTTACTTTCGACTGAAATGAAGCTATAATTATAAATTATCCTATTCTGGCTCTTTCTTTTGAATTCTGCTGCGGTTTTACAATCCCTAGATCATTTCAGTAGCTGCTTTGATGGATGTGCTTGATGGTATTGAAGTTGTTAAATTCAGCTCACTGATGATGCAGCTGTTCTTGGCAGAGAGGAACCTCTGCCGTGCTGAGCTCACCACTGGGAACACAGAATTTTATTCCAAAAGTTGTGTTTGGTTTTTGACATTTTAAATACTGACATACTGGTGATGCTGTATTTCCATTAAAACTACTGGCTGCAAAGCCAAAATTAAAGCAGCCCTAACATAGCCATGATAGGAGATAACTTGTTTAATAGAAATAGATTTGACCAGTTGTTTATTTTTATTTGGTGTGAAATTCAATCTCATGAATTTTAAAATATTGATTCACTGTGATGTCACATAAATAGAATTTTGCCTCCCCCTTCATTATTTATGTATTTATTCAGCAAGTGGTTGGCTGAAAGTCTACAAATACTTTTTTAAAAAAGTATATTCTAGTAACTGCAACCTCAGACTTTGAAATGCTGCTTTTTCCTGCCTTTCCAAGAATAGAATCTCAGCCTCCAAAAATAAATGAAACCCAGCATCCATCACCGTGGTTTTCAGTGCTTGCAGTGGTGGATTTCTCCTTGAGGAGCAAAGGTGCAGCAGCTATTTTGGGAAGGGAAGATGTGGGGTGGGGACGAAATGAAGGCAGAGCTGATCTGGGAAGGCTCGTTGGAAACGTCAGACCTGCTTGGTGGGTGTGTGTGTGTTGTCTGGATGGCTTCACAGAGCCTGAAAAGTCAGGATGAAGAGGAGGAAGAATAAGCAGGGAAGGGGGATAATAGTGATTCAGATGTTTAGTGAAGGAAGGTGTTCATTTGGGATTCTTTAGAATTGTAAAGAAAACTCTTCTCGATGTACAGTGCAGGTGCACACTGCGTAGGTCAGGCTCATTCCAGGCTCTCCCCTGTTTTTTATTAACCCACATCTTCCTGCAGCTTTGCTACACAAACTGTCCCTTGTCCAGGGCCTTGGATCCCAAACTGTGGCTCCTTGGGTTTCTGCTGCCTTCCTGTCACTCCACCATTTCCTGGCCTTTACTTTGCTTGTTTTCTGCCATTTTTGCCATTCCCTGTCTCCTTGCTTCCCAGTGCCACTGGAGTGCTGGAGGCCACTTCCCTGCCCATGGCACTTGCACACCCTGCACACCTGAGGTGGCCTGGTGGCAGCTCTGGTGTGCCAGGGACCTCTCCAAGAATATTATTTTTATATAGAGAATGATTTAAATATACATTATTATTTTCATATACATTATTACATTTATTCTACATTATATACAATATTATTAATATTACAATAGGGAATAAGTAACAGGATACCACCAGATCCCCTGGAATTTTGTGCTTGATGGAAGATATCCATGAGGGGCTTTTGATGTGGGCATGGAGGGATAGGAGAAAGAGGAATGGAATGGCTTGAAACCCAAAGAGAGGAGGTTTAGCTGGGATATTTGGAGGAAATTGTTCCTTGTGAGGCTCTGGCAGAGGAGCCCAGAGCAGCTGTGGCTGCCCCTGGGTCCCTGGAAGTGTCCAAGGCCAGGCTGGAGCAGCCTGGGGCAGTGTCCCTGCCATGGCAGGGGTGGGTTGGGATGGGATTTAAGGCCCTTCCAGCCCAAAGCAGTTTGGGATTCTCTGTTCCTGGCAGGGATGTGGATGGATGGAGCACACCCCTGATAATGGTGTGCATGACACACCCCAGCAGTTCTGCCACCATCCACTCTTCCTCCTTGTCCCATCAGGAGCTGGACTGGAGTTTGCTGCTGCTGCTGCTGGGAGAGGACATTTAATTTTAATCCTGAAAATAGATTCACAGCCTGTTTTTTGGATCCTTGCTCAGAAATGAAGTTAAAGCCAGTGTCAGCATCGGGCCCCGAGTCTAAAAATATATTTAAAATGCAGAAACCTTGCTATAGCAAGGCTGTGGTTTGCACAGCCAGTAATGCAGAGCTGGCCCACAGTCACACCCATGCTGGGGAGGATTCTCAACTTCTGCCTTTGCTTTGATGATGTAGAAAGAAAAGATTAATTTTTTTAATTACTTTTTAAAAAACCTTTCTTCCCTTTTGGTGGACAGAAGATAACTTTCTCTCTCACAGAGCTTGCAGGAGTTTATAGCTGCCTTAGTTATTGAGAATCTCAGGAGGTGCTGAGCCCTTGTGGGAAAAGGAAAGGGAGGCAAAAGATGGAGAAAGAGGATCAAGTGGCTGTTCACGGCTTTGCTGTTGGTAAGAGCAGGAGTGGCAGCTCAGCAGTTCATCCTGATCCATGATAACAGCAAGATCTGATCTATTATTTCATTTATTTATTTATTAACTTTCTGTTTCCAGCCTGCCAGAGCAGTTATTCCAGCATCCTCAGAGCATCGTGTTTGGTGCAGGAACACTGTCAGGGCTTGAATCCTCCTTTCCATATTTTCCTGAGCACTGTGAAGTGCCTGAGTGTCACCAAACAAAGAAATGAAAGCCTTAAAACATACAAAATCCACATTCAGCTGGGTTACCAGGCCCTGAGTGTGTTACTCACAGGAGCTGTGCAGCATTCCCAGCTCCTCATTTCAAATCCCAGTTTTCCAGTGACAGACTTAAAAATCTTATTGTGCAGTTGAGTTAGTGACTGAGCCTTCACTTTATAATCACTTTATAAAGCGCATGCACATTAGCAGGACGTGTTTAATGGCCACACGGCCCAGATGAAAGGGCTCTTTGTGGCAGGAGCCTTTTGTGCCTTCCCGGATCCCTCAGCAATTCCTGCGGAGCTTCCCAAGTCTGCCTGACACGGAGGGGCCGAGGAAAAGCCCTTGTGGCTTTCAGCTTGAGTGGAGAATAATGGGGAGTGGGATGGCAGTGGGGGAGGGCTCTGAACTCTGCAGTTCCTCTGCCCCAGCTGGGGCTCTGCATTCCCAATGACCTTCCCGGGATTGTGGCAGCGGTGTCACACCTGGGACAACTGGGACAACTTTTCTCAGTCCCTTTATTTTTCAGGTCTGTCTGTAATGGCCGTGAACCACAACAGCATTTGATTTATTTAATATTTTATTATTTGTTATTTTTGTCAACTGAGATTTGATGTTGTCTTTCATCTTCTGTTTAATCTCTCAGCTACATTTTGTTTCCTGTGTGTGGCTCTTAAAAACCCTTTTTCTAACCTTATCTTTCATCCTCAAAAAATAAGGCTGCAAGGTCATGGATATGTTCAGCTTGGCCTGGCAATAATCCTCACGAGAACAGGAATTTAGTGGACGTATATTTAGCTTTCCATTAACAAAAAGAGGGAAACTTCAGCAAAAAAGAATCCTGGATTGTCTGATAAAGATGTCTCCTTTTGT